ATTTAAAATAAAGTACTTAATTAAATTAATTAATCTTCTCTCTTATTTTATTATAAAATTAGTAATTAGTATAAGGGGTAAGTAAAATAAATTATAAAAAATTCTTTTTATTATTATTTTATATTATTTTATTAAACTAAAATAATAGGCCTCTAGCTATTTATAGTGATTTTTATCTACTTAGAGCAATAGACCTCCTAACTCTATACCTCTTAATAATATATATAGCTTTTAGTTATATAATTATAGTCTCTAACTACCTCTCTTAACTATAGCTATACTTATATATATATATTAATTATACTAGATAACCTTATAATCTTTAACTTCACTTTAATAATAATATAGTTTATAATTATTTAATTACTTAATTATTATAGATTATTAAACTATTAACTTATCCTCTCTCTTATGTTATAGAGGGCTTATTTAAAGAAAAGCTACTTTATAAAGTATATAAAGACCTAATCTACCTCTACTTATAACAGCAGGTATATAAATAATAGCTAACGCATAATAAGTACTAACTTAGATTAATTAAGACTAAGTTATAAAAGGAAAAAGTTAGAAGTAGGAGTATAGGTATATAAAGGCTTTATAAGTGCGCCTAATATGCTTACTATAAGTTATATACCTAAGTATATAACGCGCTTTAAAGTAAGTATAGTATTAATATTATAATAATAACCCCCCTTCTCTATAGGTTTCTATTTATAGAAACTACTTATTATATATATAAAAATAAAAATCTCCTCCTTAAAAAGCCTCTTTTTTTCCTTTTTTTCTATATATAATAGAAGTAATAAATCTATTATATAATAATATAGGTTAGTTAAGTTTATAGTTATAACGCAGCTCCCCTATAAAAAGACTATAGTAAAATTCACCCTATATATAAGTATAATTCTAGAAATACTATATAGGTACTTTAACCTATACCTTCTACTAATTAAGGAAAATAGTATAGAAACCCTATATATTCCTATTAATAAATAAACCCTTATATAAAGTTAAACGTATACCCTAGTTAAATAGACTAGTGGAATAGTAATAATACTAGCTATATAGCGTAAGGCTAGTAGTACTATATATAGTAGGGCTAATTATATTAGGGCTAAATAGGTTACTAAGGCTCTTATAATATAGGTTAGTAAATATATATATATAAGTAGTATATAAGATCTATATACTTAAAGTTTATAAGTATTATATCTTACTACTATTATTATTATTCTATATATATAAAGCTATATAATACTTATAATTTTAAGTTTTATAATAAATATAAAAAGGTACTTAACCTGTATGGCGCAGTGGTGTGCGCCTGGTAGGCCTGTGCGTTACCTAAACACATAGGCGTTAGTTTGATCCCGGCTATAGGAACCCCTTTTCCTCTCTTCTGATTGGTTAAGGACCTGCTATAAAAGGTGGGCCCCTCCCTTGAGGGACCTATATACATAGTAGGGCACTATCGGCCTCTAGCTAATTATTATATAGTATTATATACGTATTATCTACCTAATTATATACTGTAACGCGGCCTGAGTTTTCTTCCTATAAAGGGTTTCTTAGTAGCGCTTTACTTAGTATTAAGTATTAGTATAGAGTATTAGGGCCTTAAGCCCTCTAGTATAGAGTGAATAGAGGGGGAAGTACCTTTATACCTTCTAATATAAAAAGGTACTTAATAGCTTATAAGCTATTTCTTTTTCTATTAAATACTTTTTCTTAATAAGTATTAGTTTCTTCTCTAAGTAGCTATATATAGCTTATTATAGGTATATACTTATATATATATAGAATCTTAGTACTTTAAGTCTATATATATTATATACTATTATTACTACTATCTTCTTATATATAGTAAGCCTATATAGCTATATTATTATTATTTTATATAGGAAGTCTTTTATATATTATAGTAATATCTAACTATAATTATAGGTTTTTTAGTAAGCTTTTAGTAGCTAAGTATATATTATAAAAAGCTTATATTACTACTAAAGTATATTTAAAAACCTCTATATTATACTATTTAAGATCCTTATTATAATTTCTACTAATATATTTATAACTAAATAACTTTATTAACTTTAAACTTAAAACTATTAATATATTTAATAAGTAATAGTAAAGTAGTATATTATTCTAGTAATAAATTAAAAATATTATATACTTAGTAACTAAGTAGTAAATCTATAACTTAAGTACCTTTAAGGTTTACTACTTTGATCTTATATAGTCTATCTTAAGGTATTAATAGCTTTAATTAAGTTAGAAAGTATTAACTTTTTATTAATACTTAAACTAAATTACTTATAGTAAAGTTATCTAAGTAATAGCTTTAATTTATTATATATATATTTTAATACTTAATAATAGCTATTTAATCTAAAGTAATATACTAAATATTATATATTTAGCTAATTATAGTTTAAATCTCTTTATAGTTTAATTCATTATAGATATTATTAAATTTTATTATATACTTATCTTAGTTATAACTTATTCTTAGTTTATAGCTTTATTTAATCTTAAATAGTAATAAGTTTATAATTTTACTAGAGAGGTAGGTTTAAGTAAAATTTATTATAAGTTATAAATTACTTTAGTTATCTATATATTTATTAGCTAGAACTTATTAAGTTTATAGTTATAATATAGCTAAGGTTAGGATTTAGTTAAGTTAAGTTAAGTTAACAGGCTGACTAAGACTAAGCTAGTTAAGTCACCTTATTAACTAAGACTAAGCTAGTTAAGTTAAGTTAGCTAAATTAGGTAACTTAAGTCTAACTAAACTAGTTAACTAACTAGTCTAACTAAATACTAAGTGACTAATTTCTTAACCCTAAATATAGCCCTCTTATAAAAAGACTATAACAAAATTCACCCTATATATAGGTATAATTCTAGAAATACTATATAGGTATTTTAACCTATACCCTCTACTAATTAAAGAAAATAGTATAGAAACCCTATATATTCCTACTAGTAGGTAAACCCTTATATAAAGTTAAATATATACCTTAAATAAATAGACTAGTAGAATAGTAATAGCGCTAGTTATATAGCGTGGGGCTAGTAACGCTATATATAGTAGGGCTAATTATATTAGGGCTAAATAGGTTACTAAGGCTCTTATAGTAATAGCTTCGCTAAACCTTACCTCTCTTTCTTTATAGAGTTTAATATATATAAAAAGTATATAATTAAGATAATACTTAAAAGAGCTCTTATTAATACTTCTATAGGGGATTTTAAGATATATACTTTAATTAATAATAAGTATATAAACTTAATAGTAGAAGTAAATAGTGATATACTTAATTAATAGCCCTACTTATTAGGTATTAATATAGCTATTATATTAGCTATAAATAAGGCTATAGATAAAGCTATAGATAAGGCTATAGATAAGGCTATAGGAATAGCTTTAGGTATAGCTATAGATATAACCTTCTCTATAGCTATAAGTATAGCTATTAGAAAGGTATCTTTATATATACTTATTAATCCACCTTATAACTTAGGAT